AACAGCTGAGCTACCCAACAGGTGTAGCCTAATTACAAATGGCCCAGCTATCCTTTAAAATTTTTTCAGTTTGATACTTCATATTCGAGTACGGCATTAAATGCCAACTTCAAGGGGCCTTGCTGCATCATAGTAAGTTTCGGAAAACAATTCTGGATTATTGCGTTTTGACGGAATTACCGGTTAGTTCCAGAAACATAATGTGAATACTTTAAAGCACATCCTTAGAGTCGAGTCGAGTCGAGTCGAGTCTAGAGGTGGTTTGTACAAAATCTCCTCAAAAAGGTACATGGAGTTGGGAAGAAGTCCATTTTGAACCCAAAAAAGTTCATATTGTTTCAAGGCCACACACTAATAAAAGGATCCTACTTATATATTTAAATCAATCAAAGAGATTTGAAAAGGAATTAAATTGTTGAAATTTGTAGTTACATGACATGACATGAATTAAATGGTCCATCCAAATCTGAGAGGTGTTCCTTGGAGACGAAACACCTGCTCTTCTAACCAACGGCTCTATCAGCTCGCGTTCTCAAGCCACACATACTCATCGCGATACCTCACTAGTCAAGGACCCAAGTTTCCCAAACCCAGGTCGTCCACCCGATCCCCAATGCCTAGGTGCTTACGTCAGCCAACCCGACCCATCTCTTCTGTGTCGCTCCGTCTAGAGCCGAGCTATGCGAGCTTCCGCTCAAGACTGAGCTCTCTATGCTATATCGCACCCCATTTTCTAGAAACATGGATTTACATTATTGCATAAATCAAAATACATTTTTTTTCACTCAGTTACATTTCATAATAACATGTCCCTTGGCAGCATGATTAAGTACAGATTTAGCATACATTAGAACTCAAAGACATAAAGTCACAGCATTAAAACTTCATGGCACAGACTAATAATAATAATAATAATAATAAATGTTATAGTTATGTGCCCTTCTCAATTCTCATTAGGGAAGTCCAGGGCTACTATGGTCCACATAGTCTCACTGATCGGCAGCAAAACAGTCCCACGTGGCGGCACCATGTTCGGAATGGATGTGAAAATCTTGAACCTGTTACACAGCAGATAGCATTTTGTTTCATTGCTCTTCTTCTTGCCACAATCTGCCTCTGTCCTGTCTTCAACT